GCTGTGGAACAGAACCCAGTCAGACTATCACACAAACACAAAAATGACATTTTCTCCTATTCTTTTTAATTTCTGTTTTTTTAAACAAATCTAGTTATTTATTAAAGGGGAATAAAATCAWCTTTAATTTTCTGGTTCCATTTTCAATTAATCAAGTCCCCACCAAATAAAAAAGAAAAATGTCTTGTCCTTTCTGAGAAGACATTGCTGTCCGTCACACCCACAGTGGGGTTTTTCAGATCTTAACTTTCTCTAATCGGACAAATGGAAACAAACACCTATTCATTTATTGAGATCACTAATTTTACGTGTACCCTGAGCAGACAAAGAAACTTGCAGATTTGGGCGTGGCTTATCTTAGTAACAAGAAATACAACTTAGAAAACTCCACAGTTTGAGGAGGGAGTTTCCAGCTGATGCTCTATAAATAATCTGAGCTCAACAACAGAACGCAGAACTGAGCAGAGCACAGGTAAGGAGAGAGCGGGCAGCGCAGATTTTACAGTAACTAGTTAAACGGATGAACAAGTTAACTAAAATTATTATTATTGTTATTTATTTATTTTTGATGAATAATTTTTTTTGTCTTCATGAGATTTAAACAATTGATCATCTTTTATGCATTTTTGCTCCAAGAGAAAAAACGATTTTGTATCATTGAAGTGTGAGTGTATGGTTGTTTTCAGCGAGCACTAAAAACAGGTTGTTTTTGGGCGACTCCTAACCATTAACTTGATTGGAGCGGGTACTGAGTGTTAAATTGGTCTTTGAAAGCAAACTCAGTGTGAAGCAGTTCATGTAACGGGAGCCAGATGGGCAGGACTTTCACATTTTATGACATTTAGAGTGACTTCATAACCAGTAGAGAAACWAGATAAAAGTCAGAAAAATAACTTCCCTAAATGCATCTTTTCTTTTGCTGTTTGCCTTTTTTTTTTATCTCAGCAGTCTGTCTCTTTMTTACAGATTTTTAACACGTACAGCTTAAGGCATCAGGAGTGGAACGATTGAATAAAGATGACGACATCCATGACCAAACTCCAGGAGAGCTACAACCAGCAGGGTTTCCTCTCACCGCTGTCWGTTCTGAGCGACACGGAGCTGAGGGAGGCCAGGGAGGCCTTTTCTAAGCTGGAGGATGAATTTGGTACGTAGGATTAGAGAACGTAAAGGAACTTTCTAACAGATAAGGTTTTGTTACGAAGAATTTATTCTGCTTTCTGTACAGCAAAGATTGATTTTCTAAATCTCGTTCATTCTGATCCTTTTTTTTTCCTTGTAGAAATGAATCTAAAATKAGTGTTGTATAAAGTACCTCAAAGTGATACTTGAGTAAAAGTACAAGTATCTTATCAAAAAATTAATTTGGTAAAAGTTAAAGTCTCCTCTAAGAATATTACTTGAGTAAAAGTCTTAAAGTATCTTATCAAAAAATTAATTTGGTAAAAGTTAAAGTCTCCTCTAAGAATATTACTTGAGTAAAAGTCTTAAAGTATCTTATCAAAAAATTAATTTGGTAAAAGTTAAAGTCTCCTCTAAGAATATTACTTGAGTAAAAGTCTTAAAGTATCTTATCAAAAAATTAATTTGGTAAAAGTTAAAGTCTCCTCTAAGAATATTACTTGAGTAAAAGTCTTAAAGTATCTTATCAAAAAATTAATTTGGTAAAAGTTAAAGTCTCCTCTAAGAATAT